ATTCCATAGAGTACATGCTAATTCTATATTTCAATTTTTGTTTTGTAAGTAATAATAAAAGTTATGTAAACAGTTGTAAAACCTTTGGAGTTACTCTTCTTCCATCATAAAGCTAGGTGGTGATCGTTCGTCCATAAAACCTACCTAACTTGTAAACCAATGCTTCAACTCCCAACTATTTTGATTGTACTTATACACATTTTGGGCACTTCATTAGAATCGCAATATAACTAAGATTATAGTAGATTTAGATAGTAATAACTCAGATCCGTTCAAGTTTGACTGTTGTCATAATAGCATAAAGAATATGGGATTAGTATGACTTCATCTGTACTTTAAATTACCTTTCTTGTAATATGGACACACCTTGGATAAGAAGATTTGAGATTGCTTTTTGTCCAATAGTCACTCGAAACAAAAGTGTGATCAGACAAAACCCAGAAAAGCTAGCTGCATATGGAGTTCATCCACCACTAATCAAAGTACAACTTACAAAATGCAGCTCGACACGAGCATACATCTTTGATGGGAAGATCTGAGATTCCATTGTTGAAAGTTTCAAATTGAAACCAAATCAATTGAAAGTGAAACAACAATCTCCACTTGAAACACTCTTACATGATCCGCGCTTTCTTAAGTGGAGGGGTGATTAGAGAAAGAGTATCAGATAGAGACCTCGCTTTCTTAACCGGAGTGATGAACTGGGATATAAGAGTGTCTGATAGAGACTGAGATTTGTTAACCGGAGCTGGAGGAGACAGAACGCAGCAAGAAACAGTTCGCTTAATGCGAAGCATTTCTCTGTAGGTATCTTCGTTGCCATGTTCAATTTCCAAGTCATGCCATTTCTGCCACACTTGAGGGTCTGCAAACTGTGAGGCATACTTGTAGACTGCACGAGCTCGATCGACTTCTCCCATGCTTTTCTCCAGCTCTGCAAATTTGATGCACATCATCTTCACATCATTCTCTGCAAGCCCAGATGATTCTATAGCTTCCTGGAATATCTCCCTAGTTTTTTTAGCACCAAACCTCTCTGCTGCACGAGCTATGTATATCTCATACATCTCAAGCTTCTTCTCATCCGCAACTCTTCTCGTAGCTTGTTTGTACACATCTATGGCCCTCTTTGCCAGACCATAATCTTCTTCAAATTTTGCATACTCAAGGTACAGTAGAGCAGCATCAGATGAACTTACCATCGAAACAGCATTCTCAAACAACTCTCTCGCCCGCTCCACCTTTGTCTTCCCATATCTCTTAACAAACTTTGTGAGATACGTCAGCCATATGTCTTTCACATGAGGATACTTAAACATCTTCACACCTCTTTCATACACCTTGAACGCCTCTTCAAAGTAGTTGTTTTCCTCAAGAAGCTGAGCGTAGTTCAATATAATATGAGGTGTGGCTATTCTTAATTCCAGTATCCTCTCGTACGCTGATCTCGTGGATTCCAGTGTCCCTACACTTTCCTCCAGATCAACGTAGAGTGACCACAGCCTCGGGGACTTATACAACTTTAACTGGACTGGTTCTGGTTCGTTCCCAACATCAGCAACTCTGTTTCTGACTTCTACCGAGGGTGCAGCCGTAGCCCGCCTCATTAGCTCTAAAGCTCCTTTGAAATTCTTGTGTCTCAGCTCCATCTCGGCCCACTCACACCACATGCAGGCCAAATGATCCACGGTTTTGTAGTTTACTTGGACTGCCTTGTCAAGAACCACTCTTGCATTGACCAAATCGTTGTGGGTTTCATACAACTTGGCAAAAGCAACCCATAACGTGTGAGGAGACTTACCAGCTGCTTTTATGGGATCCACAGTCCTCACAGCTTCTGTGTAAGTCAGTATCTGCTTCTCTGCGTCTCCCTCAAACAACTTGACTCTACGATGCCATTGTTCAACATTGTGTGGGTTTTGCCTCAAGAGAACACTGTTTGCAAGTGCAGGTCTCCTGTTCAGCAGTTCCTCCCAGCGAGCCAATCGCAGATCAACATCGTTACCATCATTCAACCAATACCCACCCAGGATTTTACTCTGCATCTCTTCTAAGGACAGAGAAGTATTGACACGGACATCTTCCTCATCCTCTACCTCGGATTCATATTCTTCACCACCTTCTTCAACTTCTTCCAACCTTTTGGCAACACAACTTTCCTCAAACCTTGAATAAGCATCAAAAATAACACTAAAGTCCCTAACTGTGACCACCTTCACCATCCCCTCCTCATAGATATCACGGGCCTTCTCGAACATATTCTTTCTAATGTAGTAATCCGCAAGGTAAGTCCAGAGCATCCCTACTTCATCCGTAAACTTTGCAATGCCTCCCCTGATAATAGCCTCCACATCAAGACCAGAAACCTCATTAGCATGGTTAACAACAACCTCAAGCAGATCCATCCACAGGCTATAAATGCTCTTGCCTTTACTAGACTGAAATTGAAACTGGTCATTCAACACAGAGGCCAAATACTCTGCGGACTCTTGCCAACGACCCGACTTCAACAGAAACTCAATAAAATTCTCAATGTGACTTGGATCATAGCTAAGATACCTTCTATAAACTCTAATCGAAGTCTCCACAGGAACACCTTCCTGAGTCACAAATTCGAGATAAGATTCCCAAATTCTACCATGTTGTCTAACGGGAAGAGCAGAGAGAGCCCGATCGAAAGTTTTACGAGTCCTAGTAATCAATCTCTGCGAAATTAGGGTTTGAAGATAGAAGAGCCAGATCCTAGGCATGTTATGCATCGTAACCAGAGCTCTTTCAAAAGTATTGTTCAAGATCTCGTACGGTGGATCGGTAACACACAAATCACTAACGAAATCGAGACGTTCCCGGAGATACGCGTACCAAAGCTTGTAGCTACCGGGAAGAGCTTTGATGGCTCTCTCATAGATGACGAATCGATCCTTGAAAGGAGCCTTAGATTTCGAAATCAAATATCTCCACCATGGCTTTAGGGTTTTAGGGTTTCGTAGTACAGTTTCCTCGTGTAAGAGGTCTTCTTCAGATGAAGGGAACACCATTATCACAAAAATCGCAGAGCTCAGTCAGATTCAAAATTCAAAAAACCTAAATCGGATGAGAAACAAAAAAAAAAGATATGTTTAGAGAGAGAAGGGAAACTTGTTGAACAAAAAAAAAGAGAAGGGAAAACTTTAAAGTTTTTTTGGATTTACAAAACTTAATTATCATTGATTATTTTTTAAATACTTTTAGATTATCATTGATTGTTATGATTTGTATTAACATTTTCTTCCAAATTTTTCTTCATACAATCAATAAGATATGTTTTTCTATAAAATTTCCAAATATTATAGATTTTACCTTTGAACTATGTTAATGTGTGAGAAGAATTGTAAAATAAAAATTATTGTGAAATAAATTTTATTTGAATTTTCAATTTTAAAATATTATAGATTTCAACTTTAATGTGTGAGAATATTGTAAATTAACTTTTATTGGAATTTGCAAATTTTTATCTATATTTTGCTTGACCATAAAATTAATTATCACATGATGTGTAATCGTGTACTAGATAATAACCCGCACTATGTGCTGGACAAAACGATTATTAAATATATTTTAATGTATTAATTATATTGAAGGTGTTCGAATTTTATATTATTAGATAAACAATAGTGTATTAATAATTATCAAGATTAGTGAAATTTTTTATTTATGTATTAATGTTTTGTGTTTATCATGATTCATGATATATATCTTGTTATATTAATAGATACACAAAATATTAGGTACTCCATTTTGTATAGATTTGTATCTCTTCATTACATATTTTAATTGTATTTTCGTTTTAATTAATTGAGCTAAATAAAAAGCATAAATTAATTAGAAAAATAAACATAACTAAAACTAATGGCAAAATCTGTAAATATCCTAATAAATGTTGGGTCTTTAATTAAATGGATTGAGAAGCTTTGTGAGAACGACACGTCAGCATGACATTTTCGTTAATCACACATGAGGGTAAGGTTATTTTTTAAAAATGTTTCTCAATTAATATATAAGGGATTATGAATCATATTGCACATTGATTTTTGTTATATAAAAAAACTTAATACGTATGTTCATTGAGTTTGTGTGTGGATGGGTGTTTTTTTTTTTTTTTTAATAATCTCATTGCCATGATATTTTGTTTTATGAGTAAAATGTACAGAATCCATATCCCACTAACATTAGATTTTAAAAGAATTAGATAATCAATGATTGCTAAACTTTTTGAATAACAAGGGATTTTAGAGAAACTGGTGTTTCCCGAAGTGCCAAGTTCTACACAGATTGGTAATGATACTTTCTCATCTAGACCGTGGATAAAGCTCTATGTTGAACTCATCACTCTTCCAAATGGCATAGGGAATTCAATGTCGCCCCACCTGCAAAATGTAAGAGGTTGGTTAATCATTTGATTTGTAAGTAAACCATTAGAATATCCGCAGTATCATAGAAAAAATCAATATGGAATATTAGATTAGAACATTTCTTCAAGTCAAGAAATCTTTTGGATCCGGTTTTGATTAGGTTTTATGTCATCCTCTATTATATTACTTTTTTTTGTCCCTTCGTTATGACTTATGAGACGTGGTGAATAGGGAGAGCTTAATAACTTAGTCTAAAAGGGAGTCATTATCAAACGGACCAAAATGCCTAAACATGCTCGACTTTATTAAGCTGACTCGGCTCAGTTTGAAACGTATTGATTTTGTCATGTGCAGATTATAAAATTCTAATTCAATTTCAGTATCAACAAGTTTTATTACTAAAAAAACGAAGTTTGCCTCGTTCATTATAACTAAATAAACGTTTTAGGAAAATATATGTCATTTGATTAGCATCTTTTTTATTCTCATTTTTCAGTCATAGAATACCAATTCTTTGTAGGTTTTCAAATCATCTTGTACGTACCTTTCCGTCTTCCTAACAGCCATTCTTATTTTTACTAATCGTTAAACGTATACATAATAGTGCGCTACACTATTCGTATAGTATCCAACGACCGTGGATTTTCTAGTTAAAATAATCAACAATTTTATCTACTAGCTAGATTTTTTTGGTGATTTAATTTCAATTAATCTGATCTAGAAGCACACCAAGCCTATAAATATAAGAGGCCAATATACTAGCTAGGTAGCCTCAAATAAACTTGCAAATCATAATCGGTTTTTCCTACTACATACCCTATAAGTTCTAGTCTAACCAATCAAACAACTTACAAAAAAATAGGGTTTCAAGTTTTCTCTCTTGCCATCTATATAAAGTCAGTCTTACAACATGACAAAGAGTGTTAAGAAGATCCCGATGGTGACCATCTCTCGCTTCATGCAGCCTCCAAGGTTTCAGGACCAAGTTTTTATCAACTTCCGAGGAGAGGAAATTCGCTATAGCTTCCTCAGCCACCTTGTTGCCGCTTTTAAACTACACGGAATAAATTTCTTCATTGACAAAGACGAACAGAAGGGAAAAGACCTTAAGCACCTTTTCAAAAGGATCAAGGAGTCGCAGATTGCACTAGCAATCTTTTCCGAAAGATATGCGCAGTCCCGATGGTGCTTGAACGAACTGGCAAAGATGAAGAAACTTGCAAGGAAGGGCAAATTAAATGTGGTTCCAATTTTCTACAAGGTGAAGGTAAATGATGTGAGACATCAAGAGGGAAAATTTGGTAGCAACTTTTGGAAGTTGGCAAAGACTTCTAGTGGTGAGGAAATCAAGAAGTGGAAGGAAGCTTTGGAGTTTTTCTCTAACAAGATGGGCTTGACGTTATGTGGCAAGAGGTATACTCTACATGATCTTTCTTTTTATCTAAGAGTACGTACATATATGTCGAAATGTCAAAACATTTACAATTTTTTTTTTCGTGACTTGTGAGTCAAGAAAGAAAAGCATATAACACGGACACTACGCTCAAGGTGCATAAAAGTTTCGACTGAAATTATTCCGTGATATTTGCAAAAGAAATATTAGAAAAATAGAGCTTCATTCATAAATTTAGAAAATTAGGAAAATGGTCTTTTTTTTTTTTATGGTTTAAGAGTTTATTTTTTTAGTTTTGATTTATGTTCTTCTTAAATTTTAAATCTTATTTGGTGCGAAATTTAAATTAAAAGTTACTAAGAACCCAATTAATAGTCAGTTAGTCAAGTTATATGGACCTTTGTAAAAGTCAAAATTTAATTTAATTATATATAGGTATACCTTGAGATTCTCATCTTTAGTGAGTCAATGACATTTTTTCCTTCTCACTATTTTATCTCAAAAAATCATATTGATTTTGATTGACTTTTTTTGTCAACTTCAAATATTATTATATAAGATATGATCAGAGCGGCATCATATAAGAAAACAATTAATTAATAGATACATTTAGGTGAATCTGATCTCTGCGAACAACCATCTACCATAATGCTTCATGCTGTGACATCTGCACACTTGATGCATTTGCCATTTAGTATTGACAATTGAATTTTCTTCAAATCTCACCAAGCATTAATCGGGATAGGTTAATCTTCATACCAATCCCAACACATTATCAATCAACAATATAGTTGATGTGTGCCACCGAACAAAAAAAGCTCTTCATTTTCAAACCAAAACTGTTCTTAATTATTCTGATTCAAACCAAAACGAAAACCAAGATTGGACCAATACATAAGAATCCATTCTTGAAACTAAAAGCATTATTGAAATATATAGTGAGAGATGTGGTTTTTACTTGCCTTGAACATGCTATATCTCAATATGACCATTTCTTTTTGTCAAATTCAATTCGATAGATGTTAATATATTCTTGCATCGCATAAGTAGTAATTTACCCGTTCAATATAAAAGATACTAACAAAAATTATATTATTAGCTGATAAATCCTTGCTATTATAAAAAATGGCAAGTCCAAATGATACCTACCATGTTTTCTTGGAACAACTTTAGTTTCAAAATAAACATTTTGTCTCCTGCCATGATATGTGTTTCTTGATTTAGAGCTGTTTAATTAATCTGGATTTTGGTCTTAATGTGACATCGCATGTGATGATGTTTATTTTTATTCTTGATTATCATCCATAGGCTAAGTAGGCTAAAAATATAGAATTAGCACGCATAACATTGCTTTTTGATTATTATTTTTCCTAATCAAGTAGTGCTAATTCCCAGCGGAATTCTTTTTTCCCTTGTAGAATTGACTCTTAGCTATTGTGTTTAACTAGTTGGTTTTTGCCATTCCCTTTCCCAGCTCAGAGGCAGATTTCGTCAAAGAAATTGTTGCGGAACTGGAGAGAGTACAAAGAAGAATCCCAACAGAAGAGAGGAAAGATCACACTGTAGATGCAGATTTTGGAACAGTTGGTTGTTGGGAATTAGGGGATGGTGTGATGTGCCAAAGAAGGAAGCTGACTTGGTGTGAAGATAAAAAGAAATAGAAATTGTGGAGATTTAGTGAATATTCTCCTTTATCGAATTCATCATTTGATCAAGGTTAAGCATCTAAGAGTGTAGTGTCAACTTATGATTGATTGCAAAGACATTAGGGAAGATTTATTATCACTAACCTATCTTGCATTCCAAGCATAGATCACTTCCATAAAGTGTTTTGCTGTCACATGTGTGCAGAGAAACCAGCCCATCCTCCTTATCCATCTCCATTCCGAGAAATTGAGTTTCCATTTTCTAGAAAACTATTGTTTCCATTATTATTATTGCAAGTCCAATTGGGCTTTCTTCATTTATTTTCAGTAAAAACACCACTTCAACTAAGAGCATGATTATAGGTAGTCTCTTAGAAGTATTTCTTAGCAATATTTAAGTAATTTATTTGTAAAAGTTATTGTTAAGAGATAGTATTTTTGAGTTAAGATTTTTGTGTGATTAATGGTAGGCTCTTAACATGTGGTTCTTAGAAGAAAAAAATATTAATATAAAAATAAAATTTATATTTATTGAAAATTTAATAATTATTGCAAATTAAAAAAATTAAAACATACATGAGATACAACTTATAACATAAATAACATAAAGCACAAATGTTTTAAACTTAATTTCTGGAATATTTAGTCCATATATACTCGACCAAATCATTCTTCAATTGTTGATGCATTCTTCATACGGTTAGTTTGCTAAGGATATTTTCAGATATTTCGGTTATTTTTGAGTATTTTTGGATATTTTCGGTTATGTTCGAGTATTTTTACTATTTTTATATATTTTCAAGTATTTTTGATTATTTAGTCTATAAATAACTAATTATTTTGAAATGTATTTCGGATATTTTTGGTTATTCGAAATATATCGGTTCGGTACCGATTTCGGTTCGGTTTATTTATCCATGCCTAATTTAACTCATCAACCATTCATACACGGACATGTGGCCGTTTCTTAGCTTCACTTTTGGCTCTTAGCTAAGAGACGTCTCTTAACTATAAGTTTGATTTTTGAATTGAATTAAATTAATTAATGCCTAAGATCTACCTAAGAATTTGCTAAGAGTTTACCTATAAAGATGCTCTAACCTCCTTTTTTTTTGTAAGTCAACGAATTTACTAAATAAACGAAAAAAAGTGAAGATGAGAAACATGTATAATTGTGTCTTTTGAATCTAATGTCTATGTTGAGTTGTGTTTATAAGATTGTTTGGAAATTGTAGTTGATTTTTGTTCGCAACTGTTTATAGAAAAAACTGCATTTGATCTATTGATTATCATGTTTGTTTTTCACGACAAGGTGACTTCTTTCTCAGGTATGTTGCAACCCTTTACTAGTAACTAGATGATAGTACCCTGAGGTATGTTCATGTTTATCATCTTCAACCCTTTTCTGAGGTAGTAATATTAAAACTGATTTAATATTTATATACTATTTCCTGTTTAATATTAATTTAAATTCAGCTAGTATTTGTGGAATAGTACTGTTGGGTCTGATTGGTAACTAAAAGCTGTACAAGTTTTTTAGCTGTTAGCTGGAGCTGTAAGCTTTACCGGGATAGTGCAAAGTTGTATAAAAGAGCTGTACGAGAAAGCTATACAAAAAAACTGTATAACAGAGCTGTACGAGAAAGCTATAAAAAAAAGCTGAGAGTAAAACTTTTAGTAACGCTTTTGATAAAGTTTTTGTGATTGGTAAAATTAAAAGTTGTACCGGATAGACCGGAGAAATGCGGAGGACCCAACCTTCGCTGAAGCCAATTTCATCACAGCTCACTGCACCAGCCGGGAATCGAACCCAGGTCTGTACCGTGGCAGGGTACTATTCTACCACTAGACCACTGGTGCTACTTGTTTAATTTGTTGTTCCTTCTTTATATATTAGTATATGAAATTTAATAGGGGAAATTTATGAAATCTGCCACAAAGTGGTGGACCCCTTTCTCCAAATGCCACATTTTCGAAAACTCCTCGGATATACCACATTCTTGTGGTAGGTTTGACTTGATCTGACCAAAATACCCTCTATTTTTGGTTTGGAAAGAAGAAAGAATTTGTCTTCTTTCATTTGTAGTAATGTCTTTAGAGACGAGGACGTGGAAAATAATAAATGAGGCAAAAAGCAAATATTTAATTATAATAAATATGTTCTGATTTTGGTGAAATAATTCACAAAAACACAAAAAACTAGTCAACGTTATAGGCATTGTGGTGAGTTTATGAGAGTGTTTTTTTTATAGGAAGTTTATGAGAGTATGTTATTAATGCAAATAATTATTGCTGACATATATATATTATGGACAATAATTATTTATAAAATTAATAATTTACATTAGATGTGGTGAGCTTATGAGAATATGTTGTTAATGCACATAATTTTTGTTGACTATATATATATATATATATATATATATATATATTATGGACAATATTTATTTTTTTAAATATTAATAGAATAAACTTAAGTTTGTCTACCAAAATTAAATGGTATAGAGTTAGAAGATGTTTAAGTTTGGTTAAGTTTGTCCTTTAAAATAAAATAATGAAATATAACCTGAAAGAAACCATGTATAAATATCATGGACAATAATTATCGTGAATATATATGATATGGACTATTTAATCTTTATATAATGTACAATATAAATTTGTCCATGGACAATACGAAAGATAAAACATTTTATGAGGACAATATTTGTTCTGTAAACACTAATAGAATAAACTTAAGTTTGTCCACTAAGATTAAATAATATAGAATTAAGATAATATATTTAAGTTTGATTAAGTTTGTCCTTTAAAATAAAATAATAAAATATAACATAAAAAAAAACCATGTATAAATATTGTGGACAATAATTATCGTGAACATATATGATATGGACTAAAAAAAACTTTATATCAATACAACATAAATTTGTCCATCAATTTTTAGTGGACAATACGAAAGATAAAATATCTCATGTAGACGACGCCACACGAAATATTATAATTAGACACAATTGTGGCTTAGAAATGACAGCGGCAACATCGACGAGCTCCGGTGATAACAACAGTTTGGACGACATTGTGAAATGACGGCGGTGCCTCAAATCTTAGAATGAAATGAGAGAAGAAGACGACGAGATCTCCAAGTACAAAGGCGGTGACGGCAGTAATGATGAGCTCTGACGATGGCTAGTTCTTGGATCTCATCTTGATTATTAACCACAGAAGTGGTGATTGGTGAAAGAGATAGAGAAAATAGAGAGAAAGAAAAAAAAAGGAGAGATCATGGGAGAGAGAAAATAGATAATAAAAAAAAGGAGATAATTTGTTTGTTTTTGTCTTTTTCGTTTAGTTAATTTGGAGGATATTTTGGTCATTTCTTGTTTTGTATTGTGGTATAGAGGAAAAGTTTTTTTAAATGTGGTATTTTTGTGGGAGAAACTTGAAAATGTGGTAGTAATGATAAATTTCCCATTTAATAGTTACAAATTTAATGAGCGTTTGAACGTTTTCAGCTATGCATGTTGTATAATCTGATGTGCTTTGGTCTTTCAAACTGTAAGAGGACAACAATAAACTTCAGTGTTTAATGAAACCAAAAACTACTATTACCAACACACACACGTTGATTGATTGTGCCTGGACAAGTAGTATTGCAGTCAGATTCTAGACAAACAAATACATCCATTTAGTAGAGAGAGACCTTAGAGCAACAGCAATGGTAAGGCTCTCTTAAGAACTTTTATTACAAGAAACTATGGGTTAGAGCCCTTTAAGAACTACCATTGCGGTTGCTCTTAACATGTAAAAAAAAATTAAAATAAAGATCCAAATTTGTTTGCTAAGAGAACCAAAGTAAAAAAGCTTAAGAAGAAGATGATAGATAGCTCAGTCTTCGTAGTCGCCTTGAGCATACTTGTCCTCGGGGTAATACACAGCCACCACTTGGTATCCTCCAACTATTCTTCCATTCATCTCCAGTCTGGCCTTTGATGAGCCATCGACATCCGCATACTCTAAGAAAACCTACATTAATATATTAACCATTAATCAGAGTATGCAATTTATATATGAATTTGGTAGACATTGTATCCGAGAACTCAAATCAAACATTTCCAACTCCTGGTGTTGGACCATGATCTGGATTAGGCCTCGGAATCACAACATTCACTAAGTTACCTGCACACACAACAATGAATTATTAAAGTTCATTTTAGACCATGTAAAAGCCTGAGTATGTGCTAATGGTAGAAATATCAGAACATACTTACCGAATTTTCCACCTTCTTGTCGCATTATGTCTGCATATTCTTCATAGTTTCTAAGATTATCAATTGTAACCAATTGACTCAAACAAACAATCTTAGTGGGAATACCTCCTGGTTCTAACATAAGTCTCTGCTACAAGACAGGTTTAAAATTAGTGATCTTCTAGTAAACCATAAAGTAAACAAACAATAAAAATCAAGTGAAATCTAAATCCTTCACCTGCAAGGCAATCTGTTGTTGAGCAATCTGTTGTAAGACTTCTTCTTGCTCGGGTTTCGGTTGAATCGTACCTTGCATTGCACGCCTAACTGCAAGTGTCTTATCACCAATCTTAATCCCGTTAAGAGCGGCACATGCAATATCTGTTACTGAAGGATCTTGGTAAACACAGAAGGCATATCCCTTGGAGTCTCCAGTTTGTCTGTCTTTAAGCAAGTTGAAACCTCGTAGAGGACCAAGACACTCCAAAATCTCCCTGATTTGTGCATCTGTGAAGTAATGGGGAAGCCCGCCAACAAAAATCCGGTCAGGACCTTCAACAAGGTCACCGGTGGTAGACCCCGTAGTCGACAATTCAACAGCCACCATGTTTGAGGTTGGGATTAGGTTGGCTCTTTGATCGTGATCTATGTTGAGAATTGTGCCTTGAAAACCAAATTCAGAGCGTAAATTGGAAACCCTAGTTTATATCTTCTTCCCCTTCTTCTCTCGAGCAGAGAAGGAAAAAGAAATACAACATCAAGTTTCTTTTTATACCGATTCCAGAGACGGTTAATTCCGGACCGGGCCTACTGGGTTCAAATCCGATTACTTATGGTCAGCTACTTAAACAAACCGATGTAAGATTATTAAAATTTCAAACCGGTTGAAAACCATATTAAACCGAAGCAGATTTCCAAATTGGTTCAGCTAAGAATCAAACCGGTTCGAATCAGGGCTATTGAAATCCAAATTGAACCACAACTATAAATAAAAATGTCAATGTTGTCTGTTGGTATTATTACTAATAATATAAATAGGAGGAACATTGATAGACAGATAACTCAACAATCGGCGATTACAGTTTCACATTTAGCTTCCAATATCTTCACAGCTTCAGTGAAGAGAACGTCCGGAGTAAGTGATCCGGTGGACTCGATGTTAACTGAGAAAAAAGACGATAAAAAAACTCAATTACGATATTTTTCAGATCATGAATCATAGAGTAAATGGAATGGTTTTTTCTCTTCTTACATATAAAATGGTTCCTGACACTGCCAAGATCAACACGTTCTACCAAATCATCGTCTCTTACGCATTCCTGACACAACGTGCACTTACGTGGCTGCGCTACTGTTGCCCTTTTCCTACCTGTCTTCCACAAGTTAGTATGAAATCAATTTTAAGCGAGTCGTGCAGCCAAGTTCATCAGCTTTCATAAGATTTTGGTGTTAACAAGTAAGAAGATTTTATACTGTCACCTTTTCCCATGTCTTCAATGTCGAAAACATTCTGTGGGCAGACTTTTACAAGTCGTTCAGCAAGCTCATCCTCAACTTCCCCACGTAGAACCACCTAAGATAGTATCAACAAAAGCATTACGAAACAGATTACGATCAGGAAAGAAAAAACAAAGAGCTGTATTTTCCACAAAGCATGATAGATTGTTGTATAAACTTCTCACCTCAGGATGCATTCTATACCAAGCAGTCCCTACTGGTGACCACTTTGCATGTGTTTTACCAATGCCCTTAACCGCATGAGCTTCGAGCTCGATTTCCTGGGAAAAAGAGATAAAAGAAGATGCACTTATTTCATCTCTCATTGCAAGTATAGTCCGCTTAGGTGTATAGAAAGAGAAAGCATAGAAACACTACCTGACCAGGGGCGAGTTTTGCTATCAAGATATCGAGGTCGCACGGAGTGATAGGATTATTAGCAAATTCGGGTAAGGAATCTTGGCTGCAACTGAATGAAGTGTAAGTTTTTGGCTTTGAGGTTGAACCTCCCGATTCTCTAAGAAACTCACTTCCATTTGGTAACCATTTTAAATCGCTCGTTAAAACTACAAGAAAATGAAATGATCTTTCATGCGAGATTGAGCTGATATAAAACAAGGAACCTTCTGATGCTAACTAATGAACATATATTACCTTTAAGACGTGGTCTATTTTTCGGACATTTCACATGGAGTTTGAAAACAATGGTGTTCTTTTCATTCGCCTGATCATTTTCTATCATACAGAGATAAAGAATTAAGCTTACCAGAAGAAATATATTCCTATGTAGATGGATCACATGCAACTGAATATATTCTTACCGGATAAATATTCAAATAGCCTTGGATCTGCGGCAATTGGAATAAGACCCATCCTGTGAGCAAGAACCTCATCTATAATAACCGATGTGTTGTATGCTATTAAAACTTTTTCAATAGCCATTGAAGGAAGCTGCAATAAAGAAAGAAACGCTTTAAGCCAAAGATTACAACAATGAGGGACTCATCAGAGGTTGTGTGAAAACTGGACAGACCTCAGCTATAAGGATCCTTCGGAATGCATTGGCAAACGCTGCATCGATACCAATCATATCGAATTCCATATCAGTCTTTGTGAGACTAATCACATCAACTTTGAAATTCTCATAGAAGTTTCCTAGTTTCACACTGTCGTCCACTCCCAGAGAAGAAACATAGCTACCAGAGTAAATGGCACTCGCAGTCTACAGAAAACACAAACACAAGATTAAGGACTTCAAATTTCAAACAATCATCACTCAATATCATCTTGATTTTGACAAAAGAAGACTAATAAACCCATGGAGTAATCGTGTAAAACTCTAAGACCAAACTCAGCTTTTCACAGGAAAAAGATAAAATTTACTCAGTATTATGAACACAGCAACGATAGAACTCAAACCCACATGAGACCATTGAGAAAAGTTACAAAATTTCTAATTAGATAAGCTTATAACCAACAAAACAGAGCATAAAAGACTGTAAATTTGAATGAGAATAGCTCTTACATGAAGAGGAGCGTTGTTATTAGAGACGACGCCAGTTTGCTGGGCTTTGAGATGTGGAGGAAGTCCAGTAGGGACGTCAGGGAGATCGTCTATGTTGAAATTCTTGGCGAATTGCTTTTCTGCTTTAGTCACCATCCTTGTCTAGGGTTTATCAAATTGAGAAGCGTTTAACAACGGAGGAATTAGAAAAGTAGTATTGGGTCAAAGAGTGAAGTCGAAGAAGCTTACCTGTGGCTGAGATATTGAGCAATTTTGAGAGAAAAAGAGAGTTGGCGGCGGCGAGGAGATGAAGAACAAACGGCGAAGGGTTTTGAAAAAGCCGCCGTTTTTTATTAATCCCTTCTAGGCCTGGGCATTCGGGTCCGCGGGTCGGGTTCGGGTAAAACCCGATCGGGTACGGGTATGTCGGTATGGTAATCTAGGACCCAATAGGGTAAACTGAAAATAACGGTTCGGTTTCGGATCGGGTATGGTCGGGTTCGGGTCGGTTCGGGTATCAAATTCGGTTCTTGCTTGTTTCGGGTCGGGTACGGGTATTTTCTACCCGTTTACACTGTGGTATAAATTTTTTACATTGTGGTTCTTCTGTTACACTCTAATTGAACAGAATAAAACCTAAAGCATTTAAATACGTCTTAAACATCCAATTCAAATCATCCAAATATAAAGAGTTAAAAGTCTTAAAGACATAAAATACATAGAACATTTCAAATACACATGATTCAAATCCAAGAAAAAAAGACAAGTTGACAAGAAGAAGTGCCGAAGTAGAAAACTAGAGAGGACACATTACACAGTCATGAAAACTAGAAGTAGACAATCTCACTCTCCTTGACCCGCATGAACCTATACAAGTAAACAAATGTCAGAGACTCAGAAATCAGCATGCAATCTCACTCTTACATAATCTATGTATCTCACTCACGTTGATGACTAACCTTTGTATCTCACTCATTCATTTTAAAGGCTATCAGCTCCTTGACCTTGCATATTGAAAACAAATTCTGGTTCACCTAGTTCATGCTCTATAAAAAAATGAAAGAACATGAATTAGAATCACAATATCATAACATGATGTTAGAAGTAAAAAGAGAATAGAATCAGAACTTACTTCTCATAAGATCATCTTCCAACGTGATGTCCTTAAGTAGTTGTTGTATTGTGGAGACGCCTCTTTCATTGATATGGATTTCACATTTTAGCCATTGCTCAACGCACATCAACACTTCCACCATGTAATGTGAGAGACAGCTCCTGAAAGGACTCACAACTCTACCACTTGTGCTAAATGCGGATTCTGATGCTACGGATGAGACTTGCATTGCAAGTATATCTTTAGCAATGAGTGAGAGAATCGGATACTTCCCAGTATTGACCTTCCACCAAGATAACAAATCATATTCTGTGCCTTTTAGAATGACTGGAGTCTCCACAGTCTCTTTCAAATACACGTCCACCTCATTAGATGTATTGCTCAATCTTGTTTCCTTCACAATCTCATCAAACACGTTTTCCATATTTTCATACAAAAAACCATTACGCAAAACTGGTCTCTCAGACTAATCACTTGCACCTTGATCTTGAGACTGAGACTGACTCTGGCTCCATGCATTTTCTGACTGCGTAGATGACCCAGCAGTACCACTACCACTACCAGTTTTATTAGCTAAACTGTTTCTTGTATACTCATCATACAAATCAGTGATGATGCCATAAACTGAATCTGAAAGATGAGTAGCCTCCACAGTACCTTTACCATATAGCCTTTCAAAACATAACTCAGCAAATTTCATTTTCTTCCTCGGGTCAAACACACTTGCCACTATCACAAGCCTATTCATTTCAACTTTCTCCCCAAATGCATCCCAATACTTACCCAACTTTGCTAACATAGCCTCGGCTTTATTCTTTAGGCCATCATCATTGTATCTTAATGCACCTAGGTTTCTAGTAATGGAGACTATCTCATTGTAGAGTTTATGAGCTGCAACATAGTTTGAAGCTGAAAGAACCAATGTGGACTTATAGAAAATCTCAAGAATCTGAACTAACCTGTCAACTTTCTCCCAGTCATCTCTCACAGCTGGTCCAATCCTCTTTGTTCCATCCTCTTTTTCCTGAAAGTAATCATTATATGGTTTATCCTCAGCCTCCATCCTCTCAAATGCTACACTGAACTTTAGAGCTTGGTCTAGCATGAGATATGTCGAATTCCATCTGGTCTTGACATCTAAAGGTAGGCTTCCCCTTTGCAGCTTCCCTGTTTCAACTCTAAAATCAAAAGATTTCAGTCTAGGTGTCGAAGACCTCACATAGGTGATGCCATTGCGAATAGCAGCCACACAGCTATCAATCTCTGTTAATCCTTCCTTCACCACCAAATTCAGAATGTGAGTAGCACACCGCAAATGCAAATATTCACCTTTAAGTATCAAAGCTTCACTTCCATACACCCGCAGCATTTCTTTCTTGAATTTGGTCATAGCTGAACTATTGGCTGTAGCATTATCAACAGTGATGCAGAATATTCTCTTTATACCCCACTCAGCTAAACAAGCCATAAGAGTATCACATATTGTCTGACCCTTATGATCTTCTACATGCTTGAAGCTTATTATCAACTTCTTCAACTCCCACATATTATCAATAAAGTGAGCTGTTACTACCATATAACTAGCTGAAGTATTGGGACAAACCCATATATCTGTAGTCAATGACAGCCTCTGCTTATTTTTCTCGATAATCTTCTTCATGGCAGCTTTCTTAGTGACATAAACCTCAACAATCTCTCTTGTAGCTGTTCTCCGAGAATGAGGCTTATACAATTGAACTTTGGAGCAAAAATGTCTCCAAGCTAAGCACTCTATAAAAGCTAATGGTAACTCAGCTAAAACTAACAGCTCATTAGATGCTTCTTTAAAAACTGCTTCACTAACCTTACTAACCCTAACACAACCACCAGGACCATCAGGAGTTAAAACTGTTTGAGTTTGATGTATATTAGCACTTTTCCATACCTGGAATGCCTTGCAGGTATTTTCAATATGCTTCTTCAACGTGGATGTTCCAGACTTGGTTGGACACGCTAACTCTTTCCCACAGTAATTACAATTACATTTGTCTGCAACCTTCTCTTTTCTGGTGAAATGATCCCAAACCCAAGACCTTGCCCTCTTAGTTGACTTACAACCACTACCCCCTGCCCCTGCATTGTCTTTCCTCTTGTTTGCCTTGCTAGAAGTAGGAGTTTCAAACTCTTCGTCTGTCATATCATCTTCATGGTCCATTGGAACATTTTTATCTTTTGGTTCATCACAAGACGCCATCTGCAACTCAACACAATTCAAAGTCATTCACAATTCAAAGACAAAAAAAATTGTGTCATTCACAATTCAATGTCATTCAAAATTAAAAGACAAAAACAAATGAGTGGCTGTCACAATTCAAAGTCATTCTGAATTCAAAGACAAAAACAAAGTATTAAGAGTTTAAGACAAATAAGTACTTTTCTCTTAGTACTTATCAGAGAGAGATCATGGACTAGTGAAACCGGAAATTACCTCTGAACGGTTTCTCGACAATGCGGACGGTGGAGAAGTGACCAGAGACGGTGTGGGGTTTGTCGTTTGAGTTTCCAGGTTTGAATCGAAAATGAAAACTGTGGTAAATGATGATTGATAAAGGAGAGAGTAGAGAACTAGGGTTTTTAATCGGCGGGAATAGAGGAATAGAGGAATCTAAGAATCGGCGGGAATAGAGGAAGCGAAGAAGCTAAATCGACAAAAGGTAAAGTGGGTTTGAGACTAAAACCTAAGCTAATCGGGTTTTCGGTTTACACCATTGGGTATCGGGTAAAACCCGAACCCGACCCGATACCCACGGGTAAGTAATAATAGAACCCAGCAGTGTAAAACTTACATACCCGTACCCGCCCCGAACCGGGTTTTTCGGGTCGGTTCCGGTTCGGGTACTCGGGTACGGGTTTTTTGCCCAGGCCTAAATAACACTATGTAATTTAGTGCACATAGCTTTAGGTAGAAAATAACACGGGGCTTGCACTTGAGACTTAATCAAAATTATCTTCGGCAATGAGAATAGTGTCTGTAATCAATCTTCCTGCTACAAAGTGATTTGAATATACCAGAAACAATAATACTACAACAGTTACAAGTTACAGTGACAGGACGAAAGAGCATCCGTCTCATAATCTTTTGCTTAGCAATCAATCAGCAAAAGGTATTGGTATATATTACTGACACTCTGCTAATAGAAGGAAGAGCTCTTCATCGGTTATGGCTCCCATCTCCATTGCTCTTTCCAACACACTTAATCCTCCACCATCTTCTATTGATGGACGAGCACCTCTGTCAAATTCAAAGAAGAGAGACATTTAGTATTAAAGCAAAATGTTTCTCATTGAGGTAAAAAACAGGTTTATTAGTTAGTGTGTTACCTTCTCAGTAAAACCTTTGCAAATGTGTTGTTCCCTGATGCGATGCAATGGTGTAACGGAGTTCTTCCGTGGTAATCTCTCATGTTTATGTCAGCCCCAAACTGCAACAACAGTTCAAGCAAGATTGGGTCACCGCTTTGACACGCCACATGCAACAATGAGCAGCCTTGAAGACAGTTTCTTGGTTCGTTCGAATCCTTGATTCTCTGGCACGCATTTGGATCGTGCCTTTTCTTTACTTCATCTGGTGCATCATTATGGTGGTGGTGATATGCATCAACGTCAGTAATATCATCGAACTTAGTATTGATGATATTTGCATCTGCTGTTACAATGAGTCGGTAGATGTCTCTTATGTTCCTGCTTTGAACCGCTTCCCATATTCTACTCGGGGCAGTAGAGTTTGCTTCTCTTTCATCTTTGACAACTAGCGCTTTCTCCAGGTACTAGCTAGGCATAAACATTATCAGGTTTAGTATAATAAGCCTTTTCTATTCACAAGCATCTGCTTCATTGGATGATGCGGTCTATGTATGCGGAAACTTTTAAGAGCTAAATCTCATACCTTTCCATGAATGTATTTCTCCTTCAGAGTAAAGGAATCTTCTGAAGATGGTTTCGGAATCGATGCAAGTGTGTCTGTTGGACCCTTTTCACTGCAAATATTCAACAGAAGATAGGAGAGTAAAAAAGTTCATCAATCCCATGTTTTGACACACGTGAAAATAGAATCTTGTAAAAGAGGAACAGATGATTTTGATTCAAGTAATGTTATTTCTTGATTGTGTTAGAGAAACGATCTTCTTTACTTTAAAATACAAACAATCTAGTTTTCCTTGAGATTTCATACCCATCATCCTCAAGGTAAAGTAGCTCCTCCCAGA